CTGTATGATGTAACACCAGAAAGTGGAGGAGTCTATCAGGCATTTTTGCATTTGGAGAAGTTGTCAAACTCTTAAAGCTCCACTGTTTAAAAAGAGATTTTTGAAGAAAAAAAAAGAGATTAGGATGTCTTAGTTTCATATTTGTGCTGTAGTTATAATTTGTAGGTTTGAATTAGCTGCCTAAAATTAAAATTAACTAGTTACACACCGAGCAAACAACAGGGTGCAGAGGAAAAAGAATGATATAGCAAAACTCAAAATAGCAAATTAAACACATCTATTGAAAACCCATTAATATACAATAAACAAACCAGTTCACCTACTGTAGGAACTGAAAGGAACAAGTTCCAAGGTTAACTGGCCTTCCTGCCCCCCCTTCCCCTTTACAGGGTTTATTTCTGGCCATGTAATAATAGAACAGATTTTTTTTTTTATTGTGATTGATCATTCTCCCATAGAGTTGGTTATTATTCCCTCTCTTACGTCTTTTTGAGATGTGATTAACACTAGCTGTAATAACCGAGCTGATTATACCTCTCTCTGTCCCCACCTTAATTACTCAGAACTCCAGGAGATTTGAATGGCTGTGATTACTGCCGAGCACATGGAGACGTCACTTCAATAGAAGACAATAAGTACCAGAGATGCAACAGTTGTCAGTATCCCCACTGGTGTCATGTACCACTTTAGAAACGCAAGCAGTGAGATGGGATTATGTGATAAATACACATTTGAAACAAAGATTTGTAAACTGCCTCACTGTGGGGATGTTTGCAAAAACTAGTTCCGTGACTAAAGATTGTGATAGACATCAGCTTTCCGTGCAGATGCTTGACATGCAAATAGCACATAGTTCATCAGCGATGCTGGTTCCATGTGGCAGAAGCACAGCATCTTACTTTCTGGGACAGTGAAGAGAGGAGAAAAGATAAGGCACAATGTGGGAGTGGTTGAAGACCCGGCAGGCAGATGCTGGAGTGCTGCCATCATACAGAAGAAGGTGGCTGATAATGTTGGTTTCTCTGAAGGCGGCGTGGGCCGAGTATTGCTAGCAGGACTGCAGAAAGTGAAATAGGAAGATGCCAGGAATTCTTATGAAAATAAGTCCAAGCTTGTAGGTTGTTTGTTTTGTAAAGATATATCTTCCCACAAAAGGAGAGATATAAAGCTGATGTGAGGCAATACATTTATATAACGTGTTTGTTGAAGGTATTTGTGTGTATTTGTGAAGATACATGTCATTAACAACAAACCATGGAGGTTAATGTATTCCACCTAACCACAATATTAGTTAATGTAAGTCTGGGGATCTTGAATATTTCTTTTTACGTAGACTTAGACAACTTTTATTGTCATTTTTTATACACAGAGTGTATGCAAAACTAAATTTCGTTTAGTGCAGCTTTCCAGACAAACATTTCCATTCCATAAAGCTCAGTAGTGATCAAATGTAAATAGTTTTGTGTTATCAGTGTGAAGGCCTAGTGCAGGGGTCGGCAACCTGCGGCTCCGGAGCCGCATGTGGCTCTTTAGCATTCCCCTTGCGGCTCCCTGGAGCTTTTTCAAAACATTTCTGAAAATCGATTTTTTTTTTTATTTTGTTTTAATATGGTGTGCAGGAGGTCAAACAAAAAATAATGATGTTTTCCAATGCTGTAAACATTTGTATAATAAATACATTTAAACAATGATTTGCATCATAGCCATAGAGATCAGTGGTCATAAATTGCAACCATTGTGGCGTGGTGCCAGGCAAACAAAGCTACAGCTGTGTCTCGGACCATGGATCCCAAAGGGAAAAAAGAAAGATAGCTGATGAGAAAAGAGGATTCAAAGAATGGAGCAAATCATTTGCTTGTTATTATCAATGCGGAAGGATTGCCTGCATTTTTGCTTTGTAATGAGAGGTTGTCAAAAAATAAAAATAAAAATTTGGAAAGGCATTTCCAGGGAAGTCAAGTTAAATATGCAGCCGACCACCAAGTTGGGAGGCAGAGAAAAAGTGTAATTGCAGAACTTCTGGATAAATTAGAGGAGAGCAAAGATAGATTTAAGAAGTTGATTGCATGTCCAAAATCCACTACTGCTGCTAGTTTTGTTGTAGGATGGAAAACTGTCCACAGATCAAACAGGTAGCGCTTTGTTGCAGGTATGGGAACTTTCTTCAATTTTTCCCCCCAAATCCTAAAAAATTAAATCACACCAAGGAACGCTGGTGACGGAGGATGTGGGACTTTGGGGTTAGAGAGCATTGCTCTGATGGAGAAAAAGTTAAACTTTAAATATGTCAGATGAGGGAAAGCTTTTCAGCGGAGGTCTGAGCTTTGAGACCAACGAAGATTCTCTGGCTGCAGCTTTTGGCAAAAGCTTGGTTCCTCGTGGCTCAATCAACTCCTCCCAACAGAAACACGTCCACCATAGAAAGATTCCTTTGTGTTTCTATAATTTCATCAATGCACCAAAACCTAAACCGCTCGGTGAAGGGCGGTGAAGCGGAGCACGATGTGAGCGTTCACTGCTCCTACCTCACCTCATGCTGCTATGTGACATTTGCTCCATAATAAACATTTTATCATGAATGCCTATTATATTTTTAAGCCCACATAGTCATTTTCTATAGTGGGATAATACACTTAGAGCCCGTGTTGTCATACGAGGTTCATAGAAGACTTTTAGATTTTTGTGGCTCCAGACAGATTTATTTTTTGTTTTTTGGTCCAATATGGTTCTTTGAGCAGTTTGGGTTGCCGACCCCTGGCCTAGGGGTTAGGGCATTGCGCTTGGAATCCAGAAGTTCTTAGTTCAAGCCCCACTCCCACAGACTGCCACAGACTCTGGGTCGCTGAATACTTTAAACCATTTCATTAACAGTGTTAATAAAAAATGAAACTTCAGTTTGTGTCTAAAAATAAACATAATGGAAAAGCTAACCTTACACTGAGGTTTGAACAGAGTGCTAACCACACTTTTTGTTCCTACTTTATTTTCCTAGAAAGTGATTCATTTTTTTATTTTGTTTTCATAAAACTAATTATTTCACATAACAAATAGTTAAAGCTGCTATGACGCTTCAACAGCGGCCATTGAGTTTAACAGAATGTTATTTTTATCCCTTTTCCACCAACCTGCACTTCCTTCAGTACATTGCCATTTTTTTTTTGTCTTATCTAATAATTCATGATGTATTAACAGAGGTAAAGCTCCTGTTATATATCTATGCTTTTACTAAATACAAACAGTGTCAAGGTCTGTTGTTTTGGATAATAGTGCAAGCTGATGCGTCTGAAGCCTCATGGAGAGAAGCAAGCTGATGAGAAGACGGAGAGATGTGATGGTAGAATCTGATGAATAGAGAGCAAAAGGGAAAAAAAACAGGAATAAACTACTGTACTAGAACAAATTTAGAAATACGGAAACAATGACCAGATAAAGTAAAGAAAAACAACAACTAAAAACACTAAGAACTATGAAAGAGATGGAAATGAGAAAAAACGTAGCAAAAAATCTAATAAACAGAATTAACCTAGACTTAGACTTCTTTTATTGTCATTTTGTGTACACAGAGTGTGTACAAATGAAAACAGCAAAGTTAATGGAACATGGCAAGCCATTAACAACAGTATCATAACAAAAACTAAGTTGCAGATGCTGACAAACTGTATATCAGTGTTAAAAATAACCTGCACAGATTTGCACAGGCC